TCTTTCCGGGAAAAAAGACAAGGTTTTCATGTTACAAAAACAAAGGTCACTTATTGATTCCACTTTGCAGAATTAGAAAATAACAAGAATGCAACTTTAGATGTTGAGAAAGCATGGTCATTGAAACAAGATTGGTATTTAATGACCGTTAGGTCTCGAGAAGGTTATGATAACAAAACTGGGTAGACTATATTTATGAATAGCTCAGTTTAAAACTGGATCACGTTGTGAAACAAATATTTTTCACTTTGAAACAGTAATTTTATGTCCTTCTTTCCACGAGTGAGTTGATAGACGCAGGAAATTAAGATGATTCCCCAGTATCGGACTGGGCTTTCTTTGTTACATGCGTGACTAGCGCGCGCACCCGGCCCATTGAGGAGATGGCGGATTTTTTACTTTACGGCTTAGCCCACCAGAGCGATAAATCTAGTTCATTCTTTCGTAAACGAATATAGTCGCGTATCATGTCTCGCTTGTTGTGAGTCATCCCCTTTCTTTACAAAGCGTATGGACCTATTTGTTTCCTTCAATTCTGAAGAAGAAAAAATTGTGTTTTTTTTTTTACTAGCAACTTAGCCAGAACTTGTGATAAAAAGTATTAAACGTGGCCTAAAGAACACCGCATGAGAGGAACAAGTGGAGTCATTGTTTATATTTATCACAAATGTCTGTCTTTATATAATAATAAAAAAAATTAAAATCGATAATTGAGATTGAAACAAACCTTTAATTATTACATTACTTTAAGCAACATTTCGCTTATTGCAGGCTAATTTTCTCAGCTCTTATAAAGAGTAAAATGAACGGCTCAGATGGAAAACCTCTCTGGATTCTTACCTTGCAAGGAATTTTGAAGTGATTTATTCGTACGCATGGTGACCTCTTTCGTCCAGCCTACCTGATAAAATCATACTGCAATGGTTAATTCGTCAATCTGGCAAAGTTAAGTTTGACGGAAATTTTCGCATGTATGTGACTAGCACGAGCTTGTAAAATTTCGTCCTGTAATTCGTAACTTGTTGACCTTTTTTATAACTTACTTTAAGAGGGGAACCATAGACAGTAAGAGTATCTTGGTTTTCTATCCCTGCCCGGTGACTCATGGTTTGCAGAATTTGGGCTGCAGA